GACTTCCCAGGCTTTGTCACTGAGCTAACACAGCTGTGAGCTGTGCAGAGCCATGTGAGAATCATAAGCAGAAGTGGAACATTAAAGGATGAAGTGCTATGATGGTTGAAAATTACTTTCAACTGGTTCTGGGGGGAAAAAATTAATTAATAATAATAGACTTCAGCTATCACAAAGGAACTGGTATAAGAACAACCCTCCTACCATGTACAATCATAAAACTGAACTAAATATATGGTAAGTGTTTCAGGCAGTGATAACAGGCAACACATGATTGCAATTACAGGGAGGAGGGCAATTCATGCAATGAGCCCCCCATTCACCCTGGCTCTCTGCCCAGGAGTAATTTCCCCACCATAGTTTAACTCCAGGGTAGCTGAAGGGACTAGAACCTGTGGCATAAAAACCAGCAAAGAGAAGACTCCAGAAGCCTGGGTGGCTTCCCCGTGGATACATGGTTGAAGGCTGGACCACCCATGTGCAAGCTGACATGAAACTGGACTTAGCAGGAAGCAGTTGCTACAAGACTGAGAGCAGAACACAGATACTAGAATTTAAGCAGCCTGGGAGATGCCTGGGAAAAAAACCTCACTAATACCCCAAGTATCCAGCTGAGACACTTGAAAGAACACAACTCAAGAAGAAGGAACACACCCTAAAGGCAGCTTTTCTTTAGATGTACCCCAACAAAAGTGAAAACCAAGCATTGACAAGATCCACAAGAAGACAGTCTGGAGGCTGAGCTCCTGCCAAATTAGAGGGGTTTGGGAGAGACCTTGGGATTTCCCCAGATAGGCCCCAAAAAAGCATAAAATAAAGCCAAACCTGCATAAGTTGAAGGTGGCATTGAACTACCCACTGTGTGGGGGATGGAGGGTAGGGGAAGTGAGCCCTCTTCAGAGAAAGATAACAGAACAGTCTCTATAACACAACATTCATGTTCCATGTACACATATTAACAGACATGCAAAGGAACAAGAAACACCTTAAAGACACAATAGAACCAAACCCAGATGGCCTAGAGCCTAGATGCTGGGTTTAGCATATAATGCCTTTAAAGAATTACTAGAAATATGGGAAAAATATGTCCAAAGAACTAAAGAAAAATATTGTTGTATTGAATAAACATAGCATTTCAACAGAAAGATAGAAAATATAAAAAAGAACCAAGTTAAAATTTCAGAATTAATAAAACAGTCTCCCTTTTAAGAAAAAGCGAAAGAGAAAAAGCAAAGGCTACACTATTAACATCTCGACAGAGAGGATGCTGGTACTCACACCGTACTTTCAAAAACTTCTGTAGAACTGAAAATCTTAGAGAGGGCCTCCCTGATGGCACAGGGGTTAAATTCTCAGCGCTACCAAGCTATCACCAGCCAGTGTGGCATGAGTTCCTTTGTTCCCCTGTGAGTTCCTTTGTTCCCCTGGCCAGGGAGCTGACCCACGAGGAGCACAGACCTCTCCTGTCCCACCCTTTGCTCCCTCAGCAGTGTATTTCAGTCCATCTGCCTGTTCTTCTCCCCACTCTGTCTCTGGTGAATCCTCTCACCCTCTACACCTCTGGCCTACAAACCAGTTCTTGTCTGCATAAATAAATAAAAATTATTTTTTAAAAGAGAAAGAAAATCTTTGAAATTATAGAAACACAAAATTTATGAATATTTTAGGAGAACAAGAAAAAGTTATCACAGAGGGTAACCTAATCAAGTAGGTAGCTGAGAAGCAGGCTCCACTGAAAAGCAACAAGGATATGGTGTGTTCTCAGGCTGAGGCCCAAGAGGTAGAGACCTACGCTTGTCTAGGAGGCGGGGACCTGCCCCACGACAGCAGCCTCGCAGCAGAGAAGGACAGTTACGAGGTGAGTTGAGAAGCCAAGAGCTGCAGGATATTGGCCATTCACTGTGGGGGATAAGGGAGGATGAAGTCAGTCAGCTGCTCACATGGAGGTCCTTGTTGGAAGGGAGTGGGGCGAAGCATCCACGCCCAAGTGCAAATTTATATACCTCCAAAGATATATATGAGGGCATTACAGAAATCTACTTTGCAACCTGTGCCCATGTCAGGCTGAGGAGAATCTTCACTAACTGCAGCACCAATGGAACTGGAGACTCGAATGACTCCACCTACCCGAGAACCCCACGGGGGCCTGGGGGATGGGCCGTGATGTGACCCAGCCTCGGTCACAGAGGCTTTACTGGTCAATCAAGATGGCAGCCCTAGTCACAGCAACTGCTCTCCATGATCAGCTCCAGAGAACACCCCCACCTCAGCGGAACCCCATCTCTAAACTTATTTGGGGGACACAAGTCTCTGACCAGAGTCACAGCCTGGCATGTCCCAGGATGACTGTCTCATCCCATTCATCGCAGCTGAGCTGTCTGAGTGATTTCCAACCCCACTCTGGTTAATTTGATGCAACTTGGCATTATTTCCTCCAGAGTTTTGTTTAAGGAAATAAAAACTTCCCAGAGTGAATTGCAGCTGGAGATGGTCAGAGGTTCTCTTTGTATCTGTTCCTGAAGAGTAACCTCCCGTGGACTGGGCACCTTGGACCCTCACACAAAGGGAGGGGTGTTCCTGGTGACAAGCAGTGGGAATCTGCCCCTGTGGCCATCCCAAAGCAGGAAGCTATCACCATCGTGGGGAGGGCCGGGGAAATGGGTGAGAATGGGCTGTCACAAACTAGTGTCTGCACCAGCGGGAGCAGGTGACAAAGGGGCATTACGGCCCACCCGCGGCCAGCATATCAGTTCCTGTGTGACACCACATGTCCTCTGAGGGTAAATAAGTGGCCCATGCAGCAGGACTCGACATGAGGCAGTTCTAAGAACATATAGCAACACCTGGGAAACACTGGCTTCCCTAAGACCAGCCTGCAGTCAGGTCAGCTGATCTTCAGACCCTGCTCAGATGCTCCTAATTCAGAATACATCTACACTACCCACCTGGGGCCCCAGGGTGCTCATAACAAAGCCTGTGCGGTCATAACTCGGTGTTCACCTTGGCAGAAAATGAATGAATGAACAGAGGCATCTTCCTTCAGAAAATAAGTAGCCTTTCTCCAGGCTGAGGAGCTGGATGACCCTCCTGAAGGACATACAGTGTTTTCACAGCCAACCTTAGGCCAGAAAATCCAGTAAATTCCACCAGGGGCCCCACCAGGGCGTCCACGGTGCCCTGCCCACCTGGGCTGACAGGGCTCCCAGAAACACTCCCTGTTCACCTGTCCTGGGAGAAACAAGCTCATCAGCTCTGCTGCTTCTCCTGGAATGAGCAGGGTGTGGCAACCAGGTATCCGAGGCTGGGAGAGAGGCCGAAACCAGGCGGGGATCCTTGCGATACCTGGCGGCAGTGGCCCAGATTTAATAGAGAAAAAATTCATCCCTCTGAGAAGCCTCAGAGAAATGATCCCTTGATTATTCACAGCAAAGTTGGACAGGAGGAGGAAAGGAAAGGGAAAGGCAAGACACATGAAAGTCACAGAGGATTTACAAACTGCATTCAGTTGCCAGTATCAGCCGCCTCCAGCGTGGTCTGAAACACAGACTTTCTGCCCACTCCCAGGGTCTCCTCTAGCGAGGGCCCCACTCCAGAGGCTTCCAGTGGCACCTGCTAACTGATGACTAAAGGCAGGGCACAGTGAGCACAGTGCACGCCCATCCAACGCAACACATCCCCTGTGCTGGGAGCACACCCTGCAGGTGCAGGAAATTCCAGGCCTCCTCTTACCTGCCAAACAGGCAACTCGGCCCTTTGTGGTCACCAGGCAGGCTTACTTCCGAGGGAGTCAGAGCCCTAGGGCCTGTTTCTGTGTCCAGCATGCAAATGTCCTCTTGCCAGAAGGTCATGGGGCCCCTCTCACCCCTCTGGCCACCAGTCTCTGTCCAGGCTCCAGTGAGCTGCCCCTGAGAAGCCTGGCTTGCCTTCTGCTTCTGGAGGCCCCCAGCCTCCCCTCAACCTCTGCCACTTCACTGCTCCTTCGAGTAAATAAGCCAGCCTCTAGCAAGCGAACAAGCAAAACAAGCAGAGCAGAGAAAGCTGGGCGAAGTCCCTTCCTTCTCCTGGGCATAGGGAACAAGCTCGGCTTCTCTGGCGCAGAGCCGAGTTTCCTCATCTTCCCCTTGTGAGAAATGACCACCGTTCAGACCATTACACTTAAAAGCAAATATGTGGGCCATCCGGGGTAATTTTCACTTTTTCTGTTTCAGAGAGCCAATTTAAACTTCCTGTTTTAAAATGGTGTCACAAGGAGCACAGCATTCCCGAACACCAGGGGAACCAACTCTGATTCGGCGTCAGCAGATGGAGCACGTAAACAAAGCGTCTGAATCAACCTAATTCTCTATTGTCGAAAAAAATTCCTTCGTCCTCTTCCATCTTCATTTTTTAAATCAGTGGGGATGATTTGCCCGGGATCCCACAGGACACTGTCCCAGGATGAGTTGAAAATTAAGCCATTGTGTCCTCAAGACTGTGCCCATCCCTCACCCTGCTCCGAATACCCATGACTGATCTGTGTCACGAAGGAACAGAGACAATTAAAACAGGTGCCATCCATTCCCACTTTGACAGAGCTTCCAGAGGATTCTGATCTGAGCAGAATTCAAAGTACCGTAGCCACAAGTCAAGAGAGCCATTAGCAGGGCTTAGAGAGCTCCCTTGCAGCTGGGGCCCACAATAAGCAACAAGACAGGAAACCAGCATTGGCAATAAAGGTTCTATAAACTGGAAAATGCAACGGTGGAGTTGAAGACTGTCCCCCAGTGAGTATCCAAGGCAACCAAAATGTTCACCTTAGACTGTTCAGGCTACAATGTCTGCCCCCCTCCATCCCCGCCCCAGAGATCATTTAGGCAAAAATGGATTTGGGAGGTCTTTCCCATCACACTGCAGGTGAAGCTGGCTCCAGGTGGGCAGAGCCTGGTGCGTTCACCTTAAATGTGCAGTGACCACAGACCCTCCCTCGAGTGGCCAGCCTCCCCAGCAAGGCGGCCTCTTACCGTCGAGCTCCTCCACAGAGATATTAGCAAGCTGCTCGCTGTCACTGCCAGCAGAGAGGGACCGGTTGAGGTAATTGCCCTTGTACAATAGGCCGGCGGTCACATGATGGAAAGGCATCTTCTCCCTGTCCACAACGGGTGGGGGGCGGGGAGAGAAAGACGTCATTATTCATCCCTCCTTTCCTTCCTGAAAGGACCACCCCGGTTTTCAGCTGGCCCGGGTTAACTTAAAAATGACAATTAGTGTTTCTAGCGGGAAAGTCAGAAAATGCCAGGACGCCCGTCGCCTGAACAATTCCCAAGTGATCTCAGGTGCGAGTCCTTGCTTCACTTTGCAGCTTACTTCATTTTCCCCGCTTAATTATGGATTGGAACTGCGTCGTCCTTGCAGACTGTGGGACACTGTGTCACATCCAACTGTCTCTCCAGGCAAACAAGAGTCCTCTCTGCTTTGCTCCTTAGCCTGATAAACGTTATCAGTTCTCATATCCCAGCAGCGTGGGGCTGCTGCGACCCTGAGGAGACCCAAGGCTTTCCCATGCCCAGGTGAAGCTGGTGCGCTATTCACACAGCACAGGGAGCAGGTGGAGAACATCAGGCCCTAAGCACGACCCTCTGCACCTGGCGGGGGCAGACACCTATGTGCCCAGGGCCTGGGGCCCACGCCCTCTGAGACACCAGTCACACCTGCCCTGCTGCAAAGAGGCCAGTACCTTAAGGTGTCCCAGAAGCAGCTCCCAGCCCTCTTCCCGGAATCTAAATCCCCACCTTGGACCAGGCTAACAAACGCTTCAGACAAATTCTTCCACCCCCACGACCACCACCACCACCAGCTGGACTCAGAAGTCCCCACAGGGCAAAGGGGAAAGAGCTCCCAGCTGGGGATGGGGGGCCGTAAGGAGACGGAAAGAGGCGAGGAAGAGAACAGCAGAGAGCGGGAAAGGGTTTGTTGCTCCATCATGGCGAACACGCCACTGGCCCCACCACATTCTGTTCCCACCTTGGGAAAGAGGCTCTGAGGACTGAAATGCCTTTGAGCAGAACCAGGGAATGGGGAGAAAGTACAGGGAGGCAGTGACAGAATGTGGTGACCAGCACCTTTGAACAGCTCCTGGAGGGTAAGCTGCCAGAACAGGAAGGGATAATCTCCCCACCACTGAGGCATCCAAGCTGGGCCATCCTGCTCCATGTTTTCTCTATGTGAGAAAAATAACCCCTGAACTTGCCAGTGAGGACATATGGTTATATTGGCTTCTGACCCAAAACACGTGAAAGACATAGAAACATGTAAACTTTTCTTGGAGACTTGTTTTTAGAGACACAACAGAGTCTGGAGGTTTACCCACGAACCTTGAGCTAAGCTCCCAGACCTGCTGCAGTTGACAGGCACAAATACAGAGGAGGGCGCTACCAAGAGGCTCAGGGGTCCCCCCAAGAGAAACTCACACCAGTGATCTGAAGAAAAGCCTCCTCAAACTATTACAGGGCAACCCAATGTGAATTGGGGACTGCGGGTCCCCACCCATGTGCTTAAAGGGACTTAAAACATTCAACTGCAGGCACACACACAAAAGTTAATAATGGGTTTATTACAAGAGAAAGGGAAATGAATGACTCAGGGAAAGGCGGGGGTGGGTAAGTTGGTTACTGTGTCCTACCCGTACTGCTGACCTGGAACCCAAATAGCATACTGAAAGCCAGCGAAAAGCCCAAAGACCAGCCGCAAGCCGTGAGGTCCCAAAAGCCCCCATGTCTGGTTTTATAACAATGTGGCTGCCTAACTCCACCCTCAGATCCCAGCACACTTCCCTTTGGTGCTGCAGTGATTTGTAGTTCTGATGTCTAGGGTGGGGGGTGGGTATCCACAAAACTCATATCTGTAGAGTACCTTCAGGACATCCTTTCCCCCATCTGTACTTTTGATATATGAAAAGCCCTACGGCTTGAACTCTAGACAAGTGCACAACTTTTTGTCCCTGGTACCTTTCAATCAATAAAATTTAACTAATTTGTCCCCAACTCTCCCAAGTCTATATGCCTTCATCCCGTTTCTTAGTGGGAAAGGTAGACTTGAGTTTATCTCCTATCAATCTCCTCCTTGCCAGCCAATTCGCAATAAGCTGCTTTCTCTTCTCAAAACCTGAGACTGTGATATTGATTTCAGTGCAGGTTGGAAGCCCACGGCTTGGTAACCAGCTCACCCCATGCATCTATTATTCTTCAACTAAGTCACTGAAGTGTCCCTTGTGCCAGTCAAGTTTGCATCTGTACAATTAGCTGAAGAGGCCCAAATGGCCCTCCTGGGCACTCCCATAACATGGTGTAAATTGTAGGAAGAGACAGCGAACAGCCGGCTAGTCTCTTAGGATGACTGTTCAGGGCACCCGAAACTTACTGTCCCTCAAACCACACTCCTGACAGCAGTCATCCCTGGTCACGGGATGTTGGAGCTGGCAGGCAGTGAAGAGCAGGGACTCCTGTCTGCTCTTTCAGTGACATCACTGAGAGACATCAAGCCCAGCAGGATGTCTCCTCCTCTCTCACGCTCCAGTCTAGAACATCCAGCACATCCTGGTTCTGGCCAGGAGCTGCTGACAGGGCGGTCAGTCAAAAAGACTCCTGAAGGTTACCAGGCTTGAACAAGAGCACAAATCCAGCTAGTGAAAGGATCAGGTCTAGAACACAAATATCCTTAGTGCTATTTCAACTAAGGAGCTTCAGCAAAGCACCAAACATTTCCAGATGTCAAACTCTCATTTCCAACTCAAGAGACTAAAAACAAATTAATACCTTCCTTTAAAAAATAGGCCACACATCCTGATTCCACTATTTCTATCAAAGGTACTTTTCACTCTTCATAACAACCGGGACAACTCACAATTGTTCCAAGGCCTGAAAAGTAAAACCCACATATGGCTCAGGAAGAGCCAGCCATCAAGATTCCCAACCCCTCTAAACATTCCCATGGCTAATAAAATGTACATCCAATAAAAGGTATGTCCAGCTGCCCACTGCAAATGGCAGGAGGCTGGTTACAAAGCACACATGCTTTGCCAACCCTAAGGATGACATCAACTATAAATCAGACTCCCCCCTGCCCACCGAATCCACCCTTACACAAGAAGCTTTCACTTCACTTACCATCTCCTTTGTTTTCCCCCAAGTTAAATTTCAAACCAAATAGGTTTAAAGTGAGACTTAGAACTAGGAGTTAGGACCACACTCCCTTTTCCTAAGGCCATCCTTGCTTGGGGGTCATGTCCATGGTCATCTCAGCGAGGATGGATTCCAGATAAGGGGATAAGACATAACACTGAGGTTTCTTCTTCACTGTCACCCTGTCTCCTGGACCTGGTCAGCTTCACCAGCTTCTCACCTTTGAATCTGTTCTCAGTGTGCGAAGATGCCCACCTATTCAACCCTCCCTTCCCTGCTGGAGGGAACCCTACCAGGTCTGTGCAGACACTGGAAGCATCTCTACCCACTTTCCCACTGGCTGAGCTACCTTCCAGCACTTTGTAAACTATCTTCCCATTATCACCTTTTATCGAGTTTTCTGATGCTCTGGATCTGTCATGCATTTTTACAGCTGTAGCTACAAGGTTATACTCAAATGAACATTTCCCAGCCACTCCCCAGTTCAGCCACCGAATGCTAAGTACTCTGCAGAGAAAACTAGTCACAAATGAATCCCACTCGATAAACCAAAATAATTTGCTTCTGAAAAAAGCAGCCTACCAAATTAGGTACACATTCAGTTCATTCAGTCTCTGCACCCAAAATGCTCTGAGTCTAGTGGGAAAGAAAACACGTGCAATTGAACCATCCATATAGATAAATAAAGTCGTGTTCAAGAAAAGGAAGAACATTATCCCAGCAAGCTAAAAACAGCTGCTGCAATTAAGGACTAAATTTCACTCCAAGCCACATGGGGAAACCCAAGCATTAAGATATTCTCTTTGGCTAAGGAAGGGAAATATACAAAGTTCATTAACAAAGACACAGTCCTGAACTCACAGATGGATCCTTACAGGAAGTGCAAAAAAAACATTTTTTCCTGAAAGCTATGTTACTCATTGAGAAGTAGTACTTAAGTGACTTATCAAATGAACAATATTTTTTTCTGCATTTTCTTTAAGGCAGAGTGGGTTCATGGTTAAGAACCAGGATTTTCTGATCAAAATCAGTATTATATTTGAATCCTATCTCTGCCTTTATCAGCCATTTGGTGAGTTACTTAACTTCTAAAAGCTTCCTAGAAGTCTCCTTCTCTGCAGAAACAGGATTTTATGTCTATTGAACAGTAATTTTGTAAATGTGAAATAAGATAAGGTATGGAACACACTGGACTTAGCACCATGTACTTTCTCAGTAAATACTAGCAATAATTATTTGCCAGTGAGTACAGAAAGCAGGGTGCAGGACAAAGGAGTTCACGGACATATCAGCTTGAAGCTTCAACAGGCTGGGTTATAAAGGAGGGTCAGTCAGGGCCTGGTGGAGGGACAGCTTCAGAGAGAAGCTAGCTGTCATCACACATCATAGTACTGAAGGACCTGGTGCATAAGCACCCATCATGTGACACAATTTCTTGTATTTATTTCTCTGGAGAACTCAGACCTTCCATTTCTGTCTCTGTACTCTGAAGATCCAAAACTATTACTCTAGGTTGACAGTAATCTGGACAACGAATGCACCAAGACATAATTCTGCAAACAATACTACTCCTTTGAGTGAAGTTTGCTACCCCTAAAACAATGCTACTCAAAGTGTAGCCCAAGGGCGACTGCTGGTCTGCAATCAGATGACAGTAAGATTAGAGAACGTATTGACAATGTATAACACTGTCCTAATTTCTAAGCATGTAATCGATAGATGATTTTCTATATTTTTTCATTTTTAAAATTTTTCCAGTAAATCATTCTTACTGTACTTTATAAAAGAATCATTCTTCCAAAGACTGGAACTTAAAAAAAGAAAGACTAGTCCTTTTCACAAATAGTAGTAATAATAGAAGCACTACTCCAAAGGACTTTTATTTAAGTTACATGGATTTCTAGTAATGGATCACAGAGAGGGAGAAAACATCTAGAAACATGCCTTTTAAGTCATCTCTGCTATTTTT